CAGGGGAAATCTGTAACACTGACACCACTTTACCACCCATGCAGATTCAGTTCTTCCTCGGTGCCTTTGTGAGAACCAGCTCACATTTCAACACATCCACATTACATAACCTTACTCTGTAATCGTGCATGACAGAAGTTAATCAGGCATTTTATCTAAATAGTGCACGTGCATATTTCTGCCTTTGTGCAAACATGCATATTTAGTCAGGAATATGCAAAAATAGAAAAACAACTTTGATGAAATCAGCCCTTATTAATCAAAACTTTACCTGATCTCCTGCATAAGATCAGAGAAGTTGATCTGACGCCTGGCAAACTAGATGAACTGCTCGTCTCTACCTCCAACCTGATGCATCAGATGTTTTCGTACATCTCAGAAATCGCCTTTGGAAACTGTTGAGAGTAGTTGTGAGATGATTGGATGAGCCATTTCACAGCTAAAACTTGATCTTACTACCAGTGCTTCCTCACAGGACGCTGATTAATCTCCCCACAGCTTTAACTCAGAGGTTGAAACCTGTTTTATGAGGACAGGAGGAGCCAAAGCTCGAAGCACAAACCCCGACATAAGTAGACGACCTGCTCTACATCCTGCAGTCATCCCTCTCTTGCATTCAGCCCCTCTCCTCTTCTCTTCTGACAGGTGAAGATTAACACAGGTGTAGCCACTCCTGATCACATGGCGCCCGGCTTCCTCAATCATCTGGACCTGGGCGAGGCTGTTGCTGCCCTGATCGAAAGACGAAACACCGCCCACAACGTTTTCACCATCAACTGCCCTGCAGACTTAAAGAGCGTCCTTCTGGAGAGGAACCTTTAGACTCCACCTTCCTCCAGCCTCACCTGGACAGGATCGCACTGCTTCTTCTCCTGCATTCTCCAGAAATAGTCTCCTTTGATTTCCTGTCACACAACTCTGAAACCCATCCATGCTAGGCGTCGCATATTTTCCTGCCTGTTCTCACATCGTTAGCAAGTTTTCTCTCAGCATGTGCTTTTTATGGGATATGTAAGAAAACCAACGCCTTCTCCCCATTATCTGTTTCTGTGCGTTGTTACATAGTCTGTTCTGCCATCAACAGAAGATGTGACACACGGCTCCTTCTGCTAAATATTTTTGGTATAAGTAGACGTCTTAAGGCCAAATAATCAGACAGAGCAGGTAAATAATGACTTCACATTGATAACGACTGTGGCCAAGTTAGCCAAGATCCCAACAAATGGTCCAAAATGTAAATATATCTACAGACAGAGACTGTACTGAGTGGAAGTTTTGACCACTGCGAGTTTAACAGAATAATGTTTTAATAAGCTAGCTCTACAGCAGCATGCAGGTGGCTCTTACTACCAACAAAGCCCCAATGTCCAAACATAGCTCTTAGGAAATCGACGCAAACATGCAAATAGCACAAGACAAAAATCACTTCTTTGTCTTCAGCGAGGTCGCCGGGCCTCAAAGAAGCACTAAATGTAACTGTGTTTCCATGGCAACACCTCCCGGTCCAGTTAAAAAGCTGAAGAGAACAAACTCTCACACTTCAGCTGTGGATTACGGAGCCCCGCAGGGGACATGGG